GCAACCCAACGTGTGCCAGAGGTCCAAATGGCCTATTTGCAGCAACAGCAGACCAACCCACCAGCCGGGCCCACCGAACACCCTGCAGCCCAAAGGCCCGATGGGCCACCGGGTCATCATCGCCTTGCGAAAGGCCAGCAAGTCAGGGCCGTCCAGATATTTGGGGAAATGCTTCAGGGTTCACCTGCACAGGGGTCGGTCCTGGCGTCCAAGAGACGTGGGGCTCCATAGGCGTTCCAGGGAAGGCCGGACGGGTCATCTGGACAGGATGGCATCGAGTCCGTGCTGCCCTCTGCCAGCCAGCAGGGGGAGCACCTGCCTTTTGCACCTATCCTAGCTGCTTCGGGGAGATGCCCAAGGTCAGCCCCGTGTGGAGTGAATTGCAGCGGTCCAACAATGAGGTGACAAAGGTAGGAGTGGCCAGCATGTCTCTCATGCCAGGAGTGAGGATCACTGACGTACCCATGAAGGTGGCCAAACGCCTGCTAACCAGGGCTTCCCCGTGCTTTAGCTTCCCAGGGGGCTCAGCCCCATCCAGAGCCAGGGAAGGAGCTTCAGATCAGGGACGCTGAGTCCAAGCTTCCCCCACGTCTCCTGCTAGGCCTGGGACGAGAGGTGTAACTAGCGACCCTCAGGCTATCGATGGGCCTCAACTGAAGCCAACCAATGGCCTTTCCTAGCAGCTTCATGAACCGCTGAAAAGAGATGAGGGGAGGCCAGCCCCCCCCGCCCCGCCCCACCCCAGGCACTGCTAAAGGCCCGAACTCTTCTCCGCCCAGCTGGGAACTCCTGGCTCCAAACTGCTGCAGGCAGCCCGGAAGGCCCACCAGGACTGAGGGTAGCTGGGAGTTCGACCAGGGAGGAAAGGGCTGCCCTCACTCCCCCCCCACATGCCTGCCCCAGATCACCCCCTGGATGGCTGAGGCCGCTTCCATCTCATGCTCTGCCCTGAATCCTGACAGGTATCTGCCTTTTTTTTTTTTTTTACACGAGCCGGACCCTCTTCGGTTGAGGGCAGCAATGACAGCATGACAGCAGTGGGGCCCTGCCTTCCCCCCCCCCAGTGCATAACAGTTCGCCCTCTTGGGGGAGTGGAGAGGAGGAGGAGGAGGAGGAGGAGGAGGAGGAGGAGGAGGAGGGTGGGTCGTTGATCTCAATTCCATAGTTTTCTTGCAGACGTTTCATGACCCAGCTAGGGAACCTCATCAGGGCCAGTGAGTGGGGAGAGGGTGTGTCCTGGCCTTCTGGCAAGAAACAAGAATGTCTTCTTAGCATGTTTGGGTTTAGCATAATCTGGGATGCTCACCGTTTCCCAGCCAAAATGCCGCTTGGCCCTGTCTGTCTGTTGTCAGATTAAGGATGATAAAAGAGATTAAAGGTGATGAATGAGATTAAAGGTGATGAATGAGTTTAAGGATAACTCCTTAATCTTACAACACATGGGCAAAAGCGCTTGGGAATTCTGGAAGCTCGGAACTCAGACACATCAGACGTTAATAGGCACACACACCGTATTTACACCCATTCAAAAGAATCAGCAAAAAAGCTATGAAGGCAACAAAAAGACCAGAAAACATCTCCAACCAACAGCCAGATAAGCAGGGATTCACTCCAGACAAACAATCAAGCAGAAAACAAAATTCAAATCAAGGAACTGTCAGGAAGACGACCACACCTGCTCTTCTCCGGGCTCTCGGCTCCCACGATTACAGGATTCAGATTAAAGCCTTGCCGGCTCCCACCAGGCGCGGCCCTTCCTTGCCAGGTGCTGCCCTCCCCTGATCTTCACCTTCTCCCCCTCCCTCTTCCTGGGTCGTGCCTTTTGCAATTGCCCCCATATCTCCCGTCCTTCCTCCTTCCTCCCAGCCCTTCATCGCCCCTTGCAATGCCTGTTCCCGGGGAGGACCAGCAGGAAAGGATCTCTCCCTTCCGCCAAATGACAGCCGGATGCCCAGGAAGCACGCGCTGCACCTGGCAGACTGCCTGAGTGATAGCTGCCAGGAGAGAGCCTCCAATCCCATCATCCCCCAGCCTCTGCGTCCTCCCTCCCTCCCTCCCTGCATACGAGGCTTTGCCTCTGGCCCTTCACCTTCGCTTTGCCAGGAGAGGGGTGGGTTTGTCAGACCGCATTTGTGCCATCTGGGCACAATTCCTGTCGTCTTCAGAAAAGGAAATAAACCTGGCGCCTTGCCTGCCGATCCCAGGTGCAGGCGGTCCGTCTCCCTCCTCCTCTGCCGAAATCAAACGGGCCAAAGCGGTGCCTCCCCTCTGCCTTCTCCCCTGAGAACCAGCTTCCTCGGGTGCCCCCTGAAGCTGCCACCCCTGGGCCAGGTCACAGGCAACGGTCAGCCACAGCTACACACGCCACGGGCAATGCACGGGCAATGCCGGCTGCCACCCCACGCCTGCCTTTTGCTACCACTCAGTGCCAGGTAGAACTCGAGGGGGGGGGTCTGGATGGGGGAGGATTCCAGGCAAACGAAAATTTCACCGTATCTCCCTGAGACTCTTCAAGGGCTGCAAGGTCGACTGGCAGGGAACACCAAACCTGCGCCTGAAGGGACCCTGCCCGCCTCCCTCGGGCCATGAAGCTGACCGGAGCTGAGCAAGTCCCCGGAGCGCACAACCCCCAGCCCGGCCACCAGAGGGCGAAAGTGCCCCTCACTCGCTTCGGCCACGTCACGCGGGGGGGGGGATTCATGGGGGGAAAGGAATTGAGTGTTGGGAAGAGTGAGTGGGCAAAAGGGAACCAGGACACGGGGGCACCGATTGGGGATTGTCATCCGGTGGGACCATCCTTCCGCCTGAGGTACGGTTGGGCCCCACCTGTTGCTCTTCCAAAAGGCCCCCAAAACATGGTTTTGTCAGCAGATCTGGGACCACCACAAGTGGAGACGGAGCCCATCAAACGGCTGGTGCGATTGTGTTGTTGCTGCCATGGGGTGGTTTTTTTTTTTAATGGGTTTTTATTATATGGTGGATTTTTTTAAAAAAATTTTTTGTAAGTTGCTTGGAGTCACTTATGTGTGAATTTGGTGGCTATGTGAATTTGTTCAATACATAAATAAATGCTTGCATTCTGCATATGTGGCCCCCTTGGCTGATCTTAAAAGAGAGGCAGACGAACTCAGTTGCCACTTGGACCCCAAAAATCCGGGCCCAGGAGGCCAAATCTCCCCACACACCCCGTCCGTCCGTGGGAAGCCTCCTCTGCCAGCCGACTGGGCGAGGCTGAACGGAGAAACAGCCCATGACGGAGCAAACGAAGGTCCCACGGGGATCCCACCCGGTCTTCTTGAACCACAGCAAATTGGGGGCCTTCAGAAAACCCCTCTGGCCAGGCCCACATTATGCAATAAACCCTCAGCGGAGGCAAAGGCAACCCAAAGCAGCACCTCAGATTCCGGTTCTGTGGGGCCTCCGGATCCCACCACACCTGGAGTCACCAATGCCCCCTCTCCAGCAGCTGGGGTGAGGCTGGTCACTGAGCTGTCATGGAGGGGAAGGTTAGCCGTGCCTCCCTGGCTACCAGCTGGCATCGGGGCCTCACCAACCAGTGGCGAAGGGAGTGCAAAGGGGCCCCTCCCTCCACCAGGGCCCCAGAAGCTGGGCATCCGAGGCTTCCTTCGGGGCCCTTCCCGGGAGCCCCGCTTGTCCAGGGAGGACCAGCCACGCGCCAGAGGCCCAGGGACTTTGCTACCAGCCCAGCAAGGCCGATGCAATGAGGGGACCAGGAGGGGGAGGAAGGAAGGCTGTGGGGGGGGGGAGAGCACTTGGCCCCAGCACTGCTCTGGCTGGGCTGGCCACCTTCTGCCCCGGCGTCTCTCGGGCTTCTTCCGGGGGGGGGGGAGGAGAGCAGGTGGTGGCAGCTGCCTCGATCTGCCCTTCCTGGCCTTGGGTCTCGGGCGAGTAGCCTGATGGCCGAGGGCTGCCCGTCCACAAGGCCTTGGCAGTGCCCAGGAGAAGCGGATCCACCTTCTAGGCTTGGAGGGAGGGAGGGAGGCTGTGGGGCGTGGAGCATGTGGGTCCCTGCTTTTTCTCTTGTCCCTCTGCAATAGGGCCGACGCAGACGCCAGCAGTGGGTGTTTGCAAGCAACGGCGCAGAAGGGGGGGGAGGAAGCAGAGGGAGGGGAGGACAGAAGGCAGCCCCCCCCCAGGCTCAGTCTGTGCCAGAGACCCAGATCAGCCCATTCCATCTGCGTTGGCAGCAGTGCCATTTCAAGAACTTTATTGCACAGAAAGCTACAGAAACAGCCCCCACTGCCCCCCCCGGCCCAAACCAACATGAGTGGATCTTCCGCTGGTGAAAAACGGGGCCCACAAAACCCTCAGCCAGACTCCTTGGGGGGGGGGAGGGACAGTGGCACACAGCTATACAAACCAGTTGTGAGGGGGTGTCCAGGAAAGGAGGGCAGGGGTAGTGGAGATCTTCGAGGCAAAGACTGAGCATCGCTGCTCCTTTTCTGGACTGGCAACAACAGCCCTGTGAGGCAGGCCAGTGGTTATGGGGCTCTTAACTGCCCCAACATGTGGAACTCCTGGCTGAGTCTGCTTCAGCTCTTGTCTCAGGCAGCACTGAAGCCTTGCTGGACTCCACGAGCCAGACCCCCTTAGGGTGCCCTGCAAATCCCCTCCCCAATTTTACACCTCCTCCCATCAGTTGGGGAATTGGGAGGGGGCACAGCACAGCAATCAAGGGCTTCAGAGCAGGGGGGTCACAGGGAAGGGGAGGGACGTTCCTATGGGAGGGGGCAAGAGATGACCTCTTTTAGGCCCTTGTGGAAGCAGCTTTGTCTGCCCATCCCCTCCCTCCTTCAACAGAGCTGCTCCCCCCCCAGGCTTTTGGGCCCCTGGAATCTCCTTCTCGGCCTGGGGTCTGCAGAGGGCAGGCAGTGGCAGGCAGGGGAGCCCCCACTGTGAGGAAGGGGGGGAAGGAGAGGCCGCGGGGTGCTCAGACACGACCCCCAGGGCTGCCGGGCGTGGGGCCAGGCCGGGGAGCCTCAGTGCTCGGCGGGGGCGATGCTGCTGACCGTGGTGTAGCTGAACCTGGAGAAGGAAGCCCCGGTGGCAGTGGCCTCCTCCTCGTGGGCACGACATCTCCGGGGCCAGCAGGGCGTGGCGCAGCAGGCGAAGGTGGTGGCGAAGGCCTGGCGGAAACGCTTGTTCATGAAGCAGTAGATGAAGGGGTTGACGCAGGTGGAAGCGTAGGAGAGCAGGTGGATGAAGGAGATGGGGGTCCCTGAGAGAGCCTGATGGGCGGCCTTGGGGTCGAAGGCCCGCCAGATGTTGGCCACGTAGATGGGCAGCCAGCACCCAAAGAAGAGCGCCACAATCACCACCAGCATCCGGATGACCCGCTTCTTGGCCAGCAGTTTGGCCTCGGAGGTGTTGATGCGTGCCCGCTCCTGCTTGGCGCCGTCCTCCGGGCTCATGGCCGGCAGCTCCATCGGGCTGTCGGCGGGCTGGGGCACCTGGACGTAGCAGCCGTCGCCCTCGTCACTGGTGGCCAGGAGCTCCGTGGTGGCCCCGTTTGGCCGAGCTGAGGGAGGCAGAGACAGAGAGGTGCCTTGGTGGAGGATGCCCGGCCCCTCAGAGGGGGCTCCGGGGGTTCGGCCCAGGCAGCCCGCAATGATCCTATTGATGCTTCAGTACCCGCGGTGTTTCCCTAATTCTGTTCAGGGATGCTCCAGAAAAGGGGGCCAAGCGGTGATTGCTGGGTAAGGGAGGAGATACCTGAGCAGGTCGCCTCCATCTCCTCTGCAAGACCAGGAGAGGCAGAGGAGCGAGGCCAAGGCAGCTGTCCCAGGAGCTTCCGAGGGCTGTGTTACGGACAGTGACAGCCCTTGGCAGAAACCGGGTCTGCGCATCCATCAGCCGGTTCACTCTCCCCTGTCTCTGGAGGGTCCCCGAGCACGTTCTCCCCCCCCTCTGGGCAGAGCAAGTGGGTTCTGTTCTCTCTCATCCCGTATTTCTGTTACTGCAGCCGGACCCTCCAGCGGCTCTTTTGACCTGCTGCCCCCTGCCACCCACGGAGGTGCCATTTGTGACCCACTTAAGAGTCATTTTTCTCTGACTGCTGCCAAGGCTGGCATTTTGCTTTTTTTCCCCTTTTTCTTTTTTTGGTTTAAGCCTAAATGCGAGCATTCGCTTTTTGTGTCCCAATTTTATCTCTTTGGTTTTGGTCCAGCGCTCATACCTGCCAAGAATGGCTTAAATATTGATTCCTTCTTCTATAAGGATTTGGTCCCCCTGAGCCTCGGATTTGATGGGCATCAGTTTATGGGGTTATCTAAGCTCTTTATAAAAGGGTGCAGCAGGATGGGGCCTGGGATGCTCCGCCTGAAAACAGTGTCGGCTGTGTGCAATTGTTCCGCTAAGCTATGGCTCCATCTCACCGTCTTTCCTTGGGCCCTATCTTTATTTTTGCTTGCCTACAAAATTGAGAAGCTAGGCTGGAAGCTGTATTGAAATAAAGGTATATTACATCTACTACATCCCCACAATCAACTAAGCTGGTATCTACCTATCCCCAGCCCAGTTGTGTAATTCCTGCTGCTTTGCCCAATAAAATGCCTTTTGACCTCAGTTTGCCAAACAGAACGGAAACAGAAGGGACCATTCCAGACAGGTGGCTGTCCAGGCTCTCCTTAGACACCTCCAGTGTTGGAGCACCCACAACCTCTGGAGGCAACTTCCGTTCCACTGATCGATTGTTCTCAGTGTCAGGAAGTTTCTCCTTATTTCTAGATTGGGTCTCTTTCTCATTAGTCTCCATCCGTCGCTTCCTTTGCCCGGCCTTTGGGTGACTGGCATTTACTTAATCTGGCCTTTATTTTTGGTTTTCAGCTTACAACCAAAAAGAGGTCATAAAACTGGGTCAGTCACATGATGTGATGGGCGGGTTCCGTTACAGCAGTGTTTCTCAACCTTGACAATTTTAAGGCATGTGGACTTCAATTCCCAGAATTCCACAGCCAGCAATGCTGGCTGTGGAATTCTGGGAGTTGAAGTCCACATGCCTTAAAATTGTCAAGGTTGAGAAACACTGCGTTACAGTCACAAGTCTGTTTTATGAAGAAGTCCACCTTCGCCAACTTGACACTGATTCTCCAACCCCTCATCACCCTCCAGGTCCTTGGTTTCTCACGTTACCCAGAGATCACCCCAAAGGGCACCGGCTTCCAGCCCCCTCCCCCTGGCACCCACCTTGGGCCTCACGGGAGAGATCCATCTCAAACTGGATCCCCCTGTAGAGCTCGGAGGAAATCAGTCCATAAGCCACGATCATGACCAGCCCCGGGACGAGGAAGAGTGTGATGACCAGCAGCACATACCTAGCAGGGAAGGAAGGGGAGAGCCACACCAGCCACTAAATCTGCACGAACTGAACAACAACAAAGCCTTTTGTGTAGCACACCAACCATATATCAATGGAAAAGGTGGATTTGCAGAAGATGTTAGACGCTCAACCTGAATTAAAACCCTTCAGGCTTAGCAAGGGCTGCCAAAGGAACTGCTGGGCCTGGTCTAAGATTTGTGCAGGGTCTTCTCTAGGCTGGGACCCCCCCCAAAAAAACCCAGTTTGGTGGGTGAGGAATGTGAGGCCAAGCCCCCCCTCCCCACTTGCTTCTGACGTCTCCCGTGCTTCATCTCTTGCTGGCACTCCCAGGAAAGCCCCAACGGTGCCCCCTGCCCACGGGGTCGCCCCCTCCAGACCGCCACGGATGGCTGGCTCTCCGTTGAGGGTGTGAAATGAACTGTTCAAGGCGGGAAGAGATGAAGACGGAACCCAGCCCAGTGAGACCTTCGCCAATGACATCATCCTGCCAGACTCGTTGGAAAGGAAGACGCATCCTTATGAATGTTTAAATCCTGTTTACGAGGCTGTCATCATCTGTCTGATTTGTGCTCCTCTGTCTGTAAATCCCCCCTCACCCCCCCCCCAGTGTGGACAGAGTGGCAGGGAGCACATCAAAACCTCAAGCTAAAGCCAGGAGACAAAGAAGCCCCCCCTGCCCCCATCTCCAGAGTGATCAGAGGACAGCCAGGGTCCAATCCTGATCAGTCGGTCGTGAGAACGGTCCTTCTCCCCAGGCCAAGCCCTTCCCTGCCACCTGCCACGTCTCTCCTCCTCCGCCCTCACGGGAGCCCCGTGCACAGAGCGTGAAAGAACTGGGCTTACCGTGTGCCCAGAGCTATTGCTTCTTCTTGCCCCCAGCCCCATTTCCCAAGGAATGGCAGGAGGAAGTCCTTGAGATCCTCAGGAAAAGTGCCCAGATCCTGCCCCCTGCCCCCGATCCCTCCCTCTGGCTCCTGGGCTGTGCACTCCTCAGGATCCCGGGCAGAGCTGAGGTTGGCCCTGAAGCCAACACACGAGAGGGATCAAATTCCCTACTGGGCCTCCAGTTTCAAGGCAGAAGCTGCCCCATCGGCCAACTGCAGGGTTGATGCAGGCGCTCGGCCTTGGCCACCCCGTGCCAGGCCAATCGGTGGCAGAGGCGATCCAGCCTGAAGCACAGGCTCGCTTCATCAGTCTTATATCAGGAGAAAGAAATGCAGCTTTTGGCAGCTTCCAACTTAACCGTCGCTGCCGCCCCGATCTCTGCTCGATCCGCGTGCAAAGCGAACGCGACAGGCCAAGACCGCGGCCGAAGACGGCTTCGCCCCAACCATCGCAGGCTGCTGCCGTGGCTGCCGTGATCCTGGCTGGCCCTAAACAGGGCTCGGCCAGAGACGAGACCCTGGCAAAGGCTGGGCCTCCCCTGCCAGTTCTCCTCTAGGGCTGAGTCTGCCTGCTCGGCTCGTGGCCCCAAAGCCAAGGGGGCCCAGTCTGACGAGGCCCCAGCAGGTGCCTCCTAAGGCCAGCTGCGGCTCCATGGGCAGCAGATCGGACCACCCGGCTGGGCAACATGGGCTACGGGGAGGCAGATGGGCACTTTGAGGAGCACTTGGGGGACCCCCACCCCCACGCAACTTACCAGGTCTGGCTGACGTGGTGCCCAGGCCAGTTGTGGATGCACTGGGTGAGGTGGGCATGGTCGCGCACAGGCTGAGTGGTGGTGTACACCGGGTAGGGCAGCATCAGCAGCGCCGAGAGCACCCAGGTGGCGGCGATGACCCGGTAGGCGTGGGAGTGGGTCTGCCACACCCGGGACTGCAAGGGCCTGCAGATGGCGCTGTAGCGCTCGATGGCGATGGCCACCAGACTGAAGGTAGAGACGCTCACCGACAACCCTGGGGGAGGGACGGGGGGGGGGGGTTGAGGCAGGCCAGATGGCACCGGGTGGGTCACCTGCCCTTTCCCAGGGGAAGGTGGGCGCAGGCCCTGCAGCCTTGGGGCAGCTGCGAGGCAAGGGGGCAAGGGGCCTGCCGGACTCAGAGAACACCCCCTACCCCAGGCCAGGCCGAGCCCCCTCACCCATCAGGTAGGCCACGGCCTTGCAGACGACCCTCCCGAAGACGAAGGTGTGCATGACGTTGGGGATGAAGGTGAAGGGCAGGCAGAAGAGCGCCACCATCAGGTCACTCAGTGCCAGCGAGAGCAGGAAGGCGTTGGTGATGGTCCGCAGCCGCTTGTTGACCGCCAGCACCGCGATGACCAGCGCGTTCCCACACAGGCCCAGCAGGAAGATCACCGAGTAGAGCAGCACCCGCACCGCCAGGTCCAGCTCTGGGGGGCAGAGCAGAGGACACCCCCCCATCTGGGTCAGAGGGCCAGGCCGGGGGCCCCCACTGCCACCCACTGGGGGAGAGGCAGACCCAGCAGGAAGCCCCCCTCCCCCCTCCCCGGGAGAGCCAGGGCCAGGACCTTGCCTGCAGGGATAGCTGGCCCGTGCCCCCCTCTCCACGGGAAGCTGGGTCTTGTGCCCGGCCTTGCCCTCGTGCCCACCAGGCCCTGCTTCGGGATGCTGGCAGGGAGCTGGGACCCACGGAAGCAGAGCGGAGGGTGGGGAGGGGAGGCCGGCATGGACCAGGCTCAGGACGCCCAACCGAACGCCCGAAATGTTACGCCCGCCCCAGCCCGTTCGGCTCCAGGGCAACCCCGGGAAAGTTCCAGACCGGAGGGACGCTCCGGGGCTAAGAGGGAAGCCGGCCTGGCTTCATCTGGGGCGGGCATCTTTGTTGGGGTTCGGGGCACGTCAGAACCCACCAAAGGACTCGGGTCAGCCACAGCCTCAGGCAGGAGCTCTGCGAGCCCAAAGCGGCCCCTCTCGGCGCCGCCTCCCCCTCCCCGGCTCCGCCAGGGCCCAGCCACATCAGCCCTCGTGTCCCGGATTCCCGGGCGAAGGAGGGAGGAGCGCTCTTCATATGCGCAGAGGCACTTCAAGGACTAGGGAAAGCAGAAGGGGCGGCCGGGAGAGAGGCGGGTCCCTCCGCACCGCGGAAGCCTTGCGGGAATCCCGGCGCCGTTCGGGGTGCCCAGCCGCCAGAGGAGGGGACGAGCGGCGGGGCTGCCGGCAGGAGCCAGACTCGCCGGCGGGGACCGCGCCAGGGCTGCGTGCCGAAGGGGCCGCGAGGGCGCGGGTCGGGCCGGGGAGCCTCACCTCGGGACCTGCGGGGAGTCCCGCAGCCGCCGCCGGTGCCGTTCCAGGCGCCGCTGTGGGACGAGCCGTTCGCGGGCCGGCAGAGCAGCGACGCGTTCAGCAGCCGCGGCTCCTCCATCGCGGCGAGCTCCGTCGGGCCGTCCGTGCGCGCCGCTCAGTCCCCTCCGCGCCGGGCGCCCATCCCGGCGGCCTCCCCGCAGCGCAGCCCCGAGCGAGAGCCGCCGCCCCCGCCTCCCGCTCCGGTCGGCTCCGCTTCCTGCGGCGGTTGCGGGAGCCTCGGCGCCGCAGCGNGCCTGGCGCAGAGGGCTTGGGAGCTGCGGTGGGATCGCGGGGTCCGGGCCTAGCCGACCCTGCCCGTCCTGGCGCAGAGGCGCCGCTTCCTCCCTCTTTCGGAGCGGGGCGGGCGGCGGAGAGCAGCCCGGGGCCTCCCGTCAGGCAGGGCAGTTTCCCAGCAGCGGCCGGCCTGCCAGGCACGTCCTGTTTGCTCGGGACAGCGGAAGCGCCCGGCCGCTGTTGACACAGGTGCTGTTTACCTGGCCGAGGCGGGAGCTGCGGAGCGGGTCGCGCGTTACCTGCCAATGAATTCCGGCTGATCCTCGAGGCTCCGCACCGCAACCTTAGCAGGAGCTCCGCGCCTGCCGCCTCCCCCCCCCCGCCTTCTCTTGTGCATCTTGGGGGGTGGGTGTAACTGCTGGGTCCTCTCCGGTGCCTCCCCTTCTAAGTCGCTTTGGGGGCCCCCGCTCACCCCGGCCCCTGGGCAGGAGGGCTCGGGGCACCAGCCTCGCCCCCTTTATCAGTTTCTTGGTGAAATTGCCTCGATGGTTCCAGGCTCCAGCCCAGGGCCTGGTCCCAGCCCCCAGTGTGGTCGGCTGCTTGGTGGATCCCCTGTGTGGGATCATCCAGACCAAGAAGAATCCATGGATTCCGCCACCCAGCCTGGATCATGGGAGGCGCCTTCCCAGGTTATTGAAGGCAGCAGGGCAGCAGCTCTCTCTCACCTTACAGGTGCAAAGAGTGCATGGGCTGGGGTCACACAACGCTGGCTGAGCGCCTGCAGCCCTGGCATGTCGGAAGGATGGCTTCCATCTTAGCGCCTCCCTGGCGTCTCTGACTGCCCCCTTGGCGGCAGCCTTCGCTGAGTGGGGCTGAACAGCTTCCCTCCCTGCGTCTCTGGAGTTGGGGAGAGGAATTGAGGGACAACATGGACTCCTTAGAGCGGCTCCAGCCCCACTTCACCCTCTCCCCAAAGTGCCCCCCTCCCGGGAGGCAGCAGAAGTGGCCCACTCTTCATGGCTTAGCCAGAACATGGCTTGTCTGACTCTTGACTGCTTGTTCCTTTCCTGTGGGTGGTTGAGTCTAGAAAGCAAAAGTTCTCTTCCCCCCCCCCCTCAATTTGTTAATGATCGGTTCTAAGGCTAGTTGCTGTAGCTGCGGTCATCCGTTTGGTCTTCTTTAAATTTACTTTTAGTCCCATTTTTTTCCCCACGACACTCCTTAACTTTTATTACTACAGCTTGCAGATCCTTTGCATTTTCACCCGTCAGAGTAATATGATTAGCTTACCGCAGGTTTATTGATGTTTCTTCCTCCAATTCTTAAAGCACACTCAACTTTTTCCAATCCGGCTTCCCTTAATTTATCATTTGTATCAAATGTATCAGCTGTACATCTCCACCACAGGCCACCCCAATGATGCCCTTGACGTGATGGCCCGATGCCTGGAGGCCGTAAGGGTCTGGATGGGGAGGAACAGACTCAGGCTCAACCCTTCCAAGACCAAGTGGCTGTGGCTGCCGGCGCCTCGGCATAGTCAGCTGACTCCATCGCTGACTATAGGGGGCGAAATTTTGGCCCCCTCGGAGAGGGTACGCAATCTGGGGGTCCTCCTGGACCCACGGCTGACACTGGAAGACCAGCTGTCGGCCGTGACCAGGGGGGCGTTTTATCAGGTACGCCTGATTTACCAGTTGCGGCCTTTTCTGGACCGGGACGCCTTGCGCACAGTCACCCATGCCCTCGTCACCTCCCGCCTGGACTACTGTAATGCTCTCTACATGGGGCTTCCCTTGAGGAGCACCCGGAGGCTCCAACTGGTCCAGAATGCGGCCGCGCGGGCGGTGTTGGGAGGGACTCGTCGCTCCCATGTAACACCGTTGCTGCGCGAGCTGCACTGGCTGCCGGTGGCTTTCCGGGTGCGCTTCAAGGTGTTGGTTATCACCTTCAAAGCGCTCCATGGCATCGGACCTGGATATCTCCGAGACCGCCTTCTGCCTCAGATTACCTCCCATCNCCAGAGATCCGGGTGATCCCGGATCTCCCTTCCTTCCGCCGCGCCCTTAAGACATGGCTATTTCAACTAGCAGGACTGGCCTAAGGGGAAATTTTTAGCGGGGTTTTTAAAAAAACAATTTTAAATTAATCAAAGGCCAAATCTAATATTTCATTTTAATTATGTCTTTTAACGATAGTATTGGGGTATCTTTTGTATTTGTTTTTTATCAGGCTGTCAGCCGCCCTGAGTCCGTAAGGAGAAGGGCGGGGTAAAAATTCAATTAAATAAATAAATAAATAAATAAATCATTAGAATAAATAAATTTATCCTTTGCTGGAGTGGGTCTCTCACCTTGTTCCCTCTGGATGGAGGTTGGGTGAAAAATAGCCTCAAAGCTTGTTTAGCCACCTGAAAGTTAAGAGAACCTGATTGGTGGGGGGGGGGGAAGAACTATAAATTAAACCATCACATGGTGAACCTTTCAGACTGGCCTGCACAGGCCCCCTCCCGTTAAACTCTCAAAGCAGAAAGAGACAGGTGTTACTTTTTAATTTATTCATTCAGTTTCTATAGCTGTCCAACTCAACCGAGTGATTCTGGGTGGCTTACAACTCTAAAATAATAAAACAATTAAAAGATCATTAAAACCAGTGGAACAACCTGTCTCCAGAAGCGGTGAAGGCTCCAACACTGGAAGTCTTTAAGAAGAGACTGGACAGCCATTTGTCTGAAATGGTGGAGGGTTTCCTGCCTGAGCAGGGGGTTGGACCAGATGACCTCCAAGATCCCTTCCAACTTTATTATTATTATTATTAAAACAACAAATGCATCCAAACAATAAATGAGTAAAAAGAGCAGCTATGATGCTTAATCCCCTTACAGCAGGGGTCTTCAAACTTGGCCCTTTTATGACTTGTGGACTTCAACTCCCAAAATTCCTCAGCCAGCGTTGCTGGCTGAGGAATTCTGGGAGTTGAAGTCCACAAGTCATAAAAGGGCCAAGTTTGAAGACCCCTGCCTTACAGCAAAGACAAGAAACAGGGGCCTTCACACATGCCCAGGCCCAGAGCCAGGTTTTTAAAGCTTTGTGAAAAGCCAACAGTGCTGGGGCCATTCTAATGTCCAAGGGGAGAATATTCCACAGAGCAGGGGCTGCGGCAGAAAAAGCCACAGTTTATTGATTGATTAAATTTATTTGCCGCCCGTCTTATTTTGAAGCGACTCTGGGCAGCTTAGTCCCCTAGTTCCTGCCAATCGGCTCTCTTTGGCTGATGGGCGCTGCAGTTTGCCCAATCTGCTGGATCGAGTTGGGTGGGAAGAAACCAGCTGTCAGTCACTTTTTTCCTTGCTGTTTTTCCTCAGGTGGTCGTTGAACCGTCGTAAGTCGAGCACAATGCATTCTTACCATCTGTCTCGCGTGGAACACCCGGCCTTCTCTTTTCTCCCCGTCCCTCCCTGCCTCCTCCCAGTTGAAGCCCAGCATCGGTCCAGCCACCTTCTACCACCGATGTGCTAAGTGGCAGCTCCTGCCTTCAGTCCACGTCGGGAGCTGGGAAAGGAGCTCCAGGCTCCCTGGTTTTTGGAAGCAGAGAGTAAAATGGCGGCTCGAGGGCCCGTCCGTCTCCAGTCACATCTGCCTGTCTTTGGGATCAGACGGACTTGGCCTGCAAGGTACAGCTGGGACCCGGAAGCAGCCCTTCTTGGCCGGTCGTCAGGGCCCACCCTACCTTCAATGACCACATTTCCTTGGGAAAAAAATAAAGGACAGACCTAACATGGGGGCAAATCTGGAAGAAGTCCACAAGCATTAAAAGTTGTTTGTTGTCTCACAAAAGGCGAGTGAAGAGCACACCCAGTTCAGTAAAATAAACAGGTGACTCTAAAGGGCCGCTTTCTGCAATAAAAGATCGTCCATTTAATAAAGGGTGAGTGGCCCTCCCACCCATCCCCCCCCTTTCCCCAGGCTCACCCAACGTGGGCTAGGGGCTTAGACCGGCCCCCTCAGGCTGGAGATTATGCGGAGAGAAGGTTGGCTGATCTCCTTGGTTTTTACGTCACGTTTTCTCTTTCCGTTTATTAATTTATGACATTGCACAGAGCCAGCCTGGAGGTGGGTGGCCTGGAAATTTGATATATAAATCAGTAAGGATTTTGAAACAAAAAGACACCTTTGGGTGGAAGGGAATAAACCAACATTTGAGAAAATCAAAGGAGCAGCTTTGGAAGACTGGAGGGTTCTGTAACACAAGCTCGCCGTAAAGAATAATCCGTATAATGAGCTTTATTTTGTAAGCTGTTCTGGAGAACGGAAACCGGTTGCTCCCCCAACAGACTCGCGTTGGCCGACGGATCCCGCCCTCCTCAAGTCTGGACCCCTGGCCGTCCAGGCAGGCTTTCAGCAGAAGGGCCCAAGTCGTCCTTGACTGACACCCCCTTGTTTAAGGGCCAAAGTCAGGGCAGTGCTGAAAAAAGGGACTTATGGCCAATCCTCCCACTTAACGACTGTGGCACAGTCCCTGCGGTCGCGTGATCAGAATGGGGACGCTTGGCAACTGACACGTCTTTACAACGGTTGCGGCATCCCAGGGTCAGGTGACCAGGATCCGTGACCTTCCCAGCCGGCTTTTGGCAAGCAAAGTCAAGGGGGGGGGGAAGCTGGATTTGCTTAATAACCGTGTGAGTCACTTAACAACGGCAATGATTCGCCTAACCACCATGGCAAAAGGTTGTCCAATTAGGCATGACTCATTTAATAACCGTCTCACTTAGCAACAGGTGGTTTGGTTCCAATTGTGGTTGCAATTTGACTACAACAAAGTCAAGAGCAAAACGGAGCATTACAGGGC